TGTATTATAATATCATTAGGATTTTTTATTGTCAAATGCAATATATGTCGAGTAGTTTGTAAGAAAATTATTATAAATATTGATTTATAAACCAAATTTTATGTATATATGTATAAAAGATGAGGAAAAAAACTGCAAATATAAATACAATTATGTTACACTACTTGAGAATTAAGAAGAAAATTAGCAATTTAACGTGAAAAAATAAAATCGTATAAGACAACACTCGAATATGATGAGTTAATAAATGCGATCAGACTGGAAGTATTCAACACGATTTCGCAGAAAATATCCTCAATCATTTCATTATTTGTTGGAAGCGTGAAATTCTGCTCGTTTTCTCGTCGTCGGCATGAACCGTGAGACAGTCAATGGCGGCACGGAAGGTTAAAGGAAAATGCAGACCTCGGTTCGACAATAGGCCACCTACGGTCCCTTACGCCCCCGCTCGCTTTTTCTCTCCCTCTTTTTCTGTCGTCCCTTTTCGAATATACTCCGGAATCTCGACCGGACCAGCTGCCCTAATGCTGCGGAACTGACTGTAACACGCCGGCAATTGTCATGGTCTCGTGAACTGTAAAGCGCGCTAGGGAACACGCCACGAGCGAGTCTGTCCAGGTTTATGTTGCATCCTCGACTGTTGACATTTGCCACCGGACCCGGTGTTGTCCGGAATCGCCGGCACGAATCGTTTACATCGAGATAAAAACGGGATAAGATGGGTATATATATATTGTAGATATATAGAGGGAAGGACCGTGACAAGGATTTGGCTGTTCGGTTAATTAAGCAACAATAGAGGTCGATCATGAGAGACACACGACGAGGATTTATATTCGAGGTATCTTAGTGCAGATTTAATCTATTGGTCCGTAAAATTATTTCGAAAGATAATAAGGCAAATAGACAAAAGCATATTTTAAATTGTCTCTATTATCAAGTTTTATTTCTTCTACGAATTATTAAATTATATTTATCTTTCATATCTCTTTCTATATTTTATATTAAATATATGATTGTATTATTTTTATCGAATTTCGTATTTTATATAGATTTTAAACTTTCTTTTCCTTAACAATAATTCTTTTCCTAGCTTTATTATATTCTTCATCTCTCATCGGATTTCTCATCTTCCATAATTTGCCTGCGCTTGTTCGACTTTCAATTAAAATTAACTAGAATATAGAATTTGAATTCCTTAAATACTCGAGTTTTCCTTGATTCATCGCGTGAACTCTGATGGCCGTAGTTATCGAGGCGTTATCAGCTGTGCGAAACGGCGCCACAAATTCTGCACGACGTTTCGAGGCGCGTTTTCGGGCCGCCGCTGGATTAAAGCGTCATCGCGGTATCGTGTCACGGAGTACAACTGCGATCCTGCGAACGACCCTTCGGAGAATAAACTCCCTAGTATTTATGGACTTTTGGGATTAGCGGGGGCGAGGGAGCAAAGTAACCTTCGCGCACGAGAGCATCTCTTTTGTAAACTCGGTTACGAAACACCTCGGCGACGAGAACGAGAGGCGACCCTCTCCCTTTTCGCGATGTAGATCGCGATCTACCTTGTTTATGCGATAGTCTCGCATAAGGGGTGCTCTTTTGTCCGCGGTTGATTCTCGCCGGGAGATATTGTCGAATGAATTTCGGGGATGACGGCGATATATTTTGCACCCGGCTGCGGTTTTGCATGAACTTTACAAGCTCTTCCTGTCACGTACAATTTCGAAGACTTCGATAGCTTTTCGAAAACTTTCGAAGGCTTTTGATGTACTCACCGATACGATTTAACTTTGCTTGATTTAATGTGTACGAATACAAGAATTATACGTAAAGTTACGCGACATTTTTATAATGTATTTATAATATATTTATTTATGTTAGTCCTTCCCAAATTATGTATTCCAAAACAAGTATAAACAAAAAAAGTATTAATTTTTAATATTCAAATAAAACTGTTTGTTACAATTTAAACTGTCATATATTTTATATGACATGATGACATATTTTATATAATATTTTGTCTATTTTATTTTATTCTTAGAATTAATTATGTGTGCGCTTCGATTCTCTTTAATTACGTTCATTATATTTCGATTGTTTAATTATCGCTTTCTCTATTTTGTTAAAATAACGAAAATAACTTTTGTTAGTTCATTCAAAAGGTTAGATAAGTAAAGATGAGAAAAGTGAAGGTGAAGCGTAGTACACGTCAGCAGAAACTTCCCGATGTTTTCCACAGTTTTCGAGACAGGCGTGCGTTTAAATGCGAGAGTTTGCGACCTCTCCCTTGGATTGTTTTCCTTCGTCGTGGATAATTTCCCGTCTGCCACTTGCAACTCGCGCGGTAATTTATTGTAAACGCGAAGACGGACGCGCCGGTTTAAACGATTTTCCTGATACAGCGAACAGACGGACGAACAGACACGGAAACGTATTCCGTCGTGGCGTTAACGATTCATTACAAAAGTGTAAATTAGCGAAAATCGTATCTCGCCCGCGTATTGCTCATCGCCGGAAAGATGCGTTAAGGAAACATTAATTTTTTAATATTGATACATAACTAAAATGAGCCAGATTTTTCTGAAAAATGTGTGTGTATATGCAATATGCATACTTTTTATTAATTGTAAACAAGCATCACACATACACAATTAAAATGTTTTGGAAATTATGTATTATTCTGGCTGTTAATAAGATAAAATCTTATCTTTATGAACAAATTACGGATTTTCTTATTTCAATAGAATTCTATTCTAAGACTGAGAGGAAATATTGATTAAATATTAGAAAACTGAGACAAGAATGCTATTTATAATTAAATTTTTGGCAAGGAAAGATTTCAATTTAACCGTAATTTACCATATAATTGACAAATGTTAATTTTAGGGCATTTTATATCATGATATAATCATATTAGTTATTTTAAATTAGATTCGTCTATTTATTGTTAACAAAACGAGGATAAATTTGTGCATCATAAACAAGTTGTCCTTTTAATCTGTTTATTGTAGACGATTTCGATATTTCAAGAAGTATTTGAATTAGTAACTTGAACATGAAGTAAGATTGTAGAACAAGATGAACTTGTAAATGTATATCTCATTTTGTTAAGAGCAAAATGTATCGTATTTGTATATGAAAGGCAAATATTTTTATAATGGAAACAATATACTTCATTTCGCATTCGTATGATCGATGAAATAGTATACAGTTACGTTGTTTTGATTTTATAACCAATAATATTGAAAAAAAATATCTATCAATAATAGTTAGATAAAAAAATAGAATATGAATTTGTATTCAATATTGTATGAAAGAAAATTTTGTGTATGTGTCAAAAATTAATTTAGAATTCATCATAATTTCATAGCGTTATTATGAGAAGCATTCCATGTATTTCTTTGTAAAGTTTCATTGTAGATATTGTTAAATTCATCATGTTAGCCAATCAATTTTACCTCTTCAAATATTTTTTATAGATAATAAGTATTATATATGATACGAAGAAGGAATATTTAAGAATCGAAAATATTGATATGATATAATAATTGGATATGATAATAAAAAAGCATCATAGAAAAGATATTTTAAAAATTCAAAATGATGAATGATAAATATCAAAAACATTTTTCATATTATATATTCTAATTGCGCTATCTCTCTCTCGAATAAGCAACTGAATCATATTATATTAAGATATTATTATTCATTTTCTTTTTAACTATTTTATACATATACACAATTTTAATATATATTTTTGTTTGCATTATTTTTATTATCAATTATTAATTAAATATATTATATATAATCTTTATTATTTATATCGTATCATTTTTCCTTCTTTAATTTATAATAGTACTTACTTGGTGACGTAGTACTGAAAGAATGAAGGATGGAGCACAAGTTGTGTATGTAGGGACTACGTGTGTATATGTTGTCCTTGTAACGGCGTGGACCTGGTAATTGCTGCCAAACAAACAATAAATATAAATTCTAAAACATTTATTTTCTTATACATAGCAGTATCCGGTATCAATGATTAAATAACAAGAATTTACTCACATCATCTCAAAATTAAGTCGAAGAAAATGAATTCACTGAGCGAAAGCGTCCGTTTGACACGAATTGAATGCGAAGTCACGATTCCGCGTTGTAAGCGTTGTAAATCGCACACGTGATATCGGATTATCTCGATCGCGAACCACAACTAATACTCTCTCGGTGCGATAACTACGAATTTGCCGAAAACTTTGCGGCATTGTGCAATTTCGAACTTTATCGCAACTTCCAAATAGCTATTTTATAAGTTTCAATAACCGTTAATGTTAAAAGCGCCGAAGGACGCCATCTTTGACTGTGTTACAGTTAGAGTTTTTGATGTTCGCAATGATATCTCATCTTTAATATAAAGACAGATCTTTTTCGACCAAGATCTGTGCTCGAACAAATTCGAAGAAAAAGAAAGAAGGGGAAATGCGAGAAAGCACTGGATCTCACAATATCGCGTGATATGTGCTATATTCTTGTTCCGAGAATTCGTCTTCCGTTCACGCACCAGTGTTTCTGTGTGAGTGTTAACCGATAAATTTTCTACCTCGTCAGATTATCGACGCGACTCGGATTGTTAGATAACCAATCATATAACGCGTATCGTTGCGAAGACTCCCTATGAGCTTGGTCGCGCAGAAATAACACGATCGCAAACGGTGAAACTGACTTTCAAGTTGGTCGCGACAAAAATTCCACGAAACGCGTTTATACGAGCCGTGTAGTTAGAAAGAGACGCGCGCGCGCGGCATCGCGAGGAGAGAGTATCTTCAGCAACTTGAAGGTAGGCAGGGGAGGGGTGATTCGACGCGACTGGTAGGATACGCAGGGACGAGGTGAGCCGAGAACGACCGATCGCGCGGTAGTGGGGGAAGCCGCCGCCGTCGCCGTTGCTCGGCTGGTATGGTGGGGGGGGGGGAGACGCTCACTCGTTCCCTGCGCTCACTCAGTTCCTCCGTCGCTGTCGTAGGGAGTGTGTCGTCGTTTTATAGGGAACGTATCGTCGCGCGTTGCCGTTCCCTTCGTAGTCGCGTCGCGACGGGTGTTACGCTCGCGCTTCTAAGACGCTTAATTACGCTCTTGGACGGCGTCCACGCCATCGTCGCCGTTCGTTTTGCCGCGAAATTCCGTTATGGAGACTCGCAACTTTCGTGCGATACGGTGAAGCGCCACGGGCGCTATCGCGCGATCGACTTCAGTGTGTACGAATACGCAGTGAAACTAGCGTCTTTCCGGCGCGCCGTGAAGTTCTCAATTGCACGATATCGCGAAGTGGTGCGTAACTTGATCATCCCGGTATCTGTTTCGTTCCTGGAATCCGCTGAAGGAGATACTTGGAGAGGAAGGACCGATAGAGGAGAACTTAACGGAATACGCAGCCGGAGATTGCAGCCGTCGGCAGATCGTGCCACGGCTAAGATCGCTCAACTAATATCTGTGTCAGCATCGCTCGGCGAGTTTCCGAATTCCTGGAAATCCCGAGGGGATATAACGAGACCCGCGCGGATCTCGACAGTGTGTTTCGTGTGACAGTGACAGTTTGGTTTTGTTTCGGTTTCTGATTTTTGTGCGATGTGCTACCGTCCCACCGTTCTCCGTATCTTCTATCTCGTAAGTACCACAAATCAACGGCCTTCGATTCTCGATCGGCTGTACTTCCGCGATCGCTTCTCCCATTTTTGTTCGGAAACGACAGTTGCGGTTCGATTTCGGAGATGCGCGGATATGCGTATCAAAGTAAACCACCCCATCGACCGATACCGATCGAAATTGAAACGAGCTTCAATTTAGAGCGACGGAACGGAATGCGGCGGTTTGAAGTATCGAGCGCACGAAATTTTTGTATTCTGTGAACCTGTGATGAAAGTGAAAAATGCGAAAGCTCTGTTCGAAGTCGGAGTGCATTGATTGGAAATTAATTTGTTAACGTGAATTCGCGTACGTTTTGGAAAAAACCATACCAATCTTGGACGTTGCTCGATCGCCGAAGTACAACCGTCGATTTTTCGTGTTTTAATGAAAAATTAAAACGAGGAATCTTTTGCCGATGTCATTTCGCAGTGATAGAGGTTGTGATTTTTAGAAAAAGATGCATCGGCAAAAGAATGTTATTGGTGGAAAATCGAGGAATTGTTTTTTTTATTACAATAAATCGTGCAAATCTTACCACGGCTTTTGCGATTTTTTTTCGTTGACGTATAAAATCTTATAAGTGAAACGCACGCGGATATAATACGAACATGAAAATTATTGTTACATGCATTTGTGATGCAAATTTTATAACCCGAAAATTGTTGCATAACAATCGTGTGTGAGAAGTGGGTTGGTGAAGATTCGTCATAACAATCATGTGTTCAATTTAATTCCGTAATCAGCAATGAAAATAAATACAGAGAATTATAAACAAATTTCATGCATCATGTCCGAGGATCAAACTGTTTCAATCGCGAATGTGTGTTTGTATTTTTACCTCGCTTTTTTGCGCGAAAATAGTATTTCGTATTCGAACTGTATTCACAGTTAACTGAAGTTATATTTTTGTTTTAAGAAAAATTTATAAATGAGCATTGAAATAATAAGAAACTTTGAAAACGTTAGCGAGCATATTTTTAAATACGTTTCTATCTATTTTTAAATATGTGATATGTTTAGATAAAATCGATATAATTAATAACAAACGCATAAAGAGGACAATATTTTTAAACATGCAAACTTTTTAATGTTTTAAGTTATTTAAATGATGGTGTGTGCATGAAAGATTAAATATCGATATAAATTATAATATCTGAAAGATATCAAAAATGGACTTTTAACGCTATAAAAATACAATTTGCGTAAATAGGTATAGTTTAAAGGTAGATGTAACAAATATAAAACACGCAAATTTCATAATATCAATATAAGCTTGAATATGCTGCAACAAACAATGGAAATCAAATCTGGAAAATGCTAATTACGTAAATTTAATTCCGTTTCATTTAAAAATGCGATTGTTAGCTGTTTGCTTTTGTGTTGCATAAGCAAAATTTACGCGAATAATAAGCGTTAAAGCATATGAAATATTATGATATTAAAAGAGTATAACACAAGAGTATATGACACATATACGATATTTTTGTAATCTGATATGTTTATGTCCTCTCTATTTAATAGAAAAGGAGAAAAATATGTAAGAAAGAGGAAAGGAGCTCGAAATGTAATAATGCAATCCTCGATTTTCCATTAGTGATTTTTTCACAAATTTACAATGCAAAATCGAAATCAATTCTAATTCGAGTGTGCTACTACGAGTTGCTAGGTTTACTTTTCGCGCGTGAATAAATCCGTACTTCGTTTTCGCAATTTTTGCGACAGAAGGAAATCTCGGTAGCGGCGCGGAAATGCGCCCTTTGATTTTCAATCAGCAACTTCTCGCATTGAAATTTGATTTATTACCAATGAAAATAGAAGGAAAATGTCAATTCGAGAAAAACGATGTAGTCACGCGCACGCGTTCGATTCTTAATAGTTGATTTTACTCACTCGGATCTCGTTTTACAATATCATGATTTATTGGAACGCAGTTTTGATGGCAGTTTTTAATCAAAAATCCTTGTCATTAATTATGATATGTGCAATTAGAAAAGAAGTGCACATCATTCGCGAGATGCATAATTAATGATAAAGTACATGTCACTGCGGTTTCTTAATAATGGACTACATCGTTAAAAATAAAATGTTATGTCATTATTTCCAAGATTTACCAAAGTACATTCCCAAAAGTACAAAATTTAAATGCAATTATTATCAAAACATGATTACAATCAGAAGTTGCTTTATTCACGCTTATGCCTCAAATACGTGCTTCAACGCACATTTAATATTTTGCGTATCAAAATATAATCCCTGTGGAAACGTAATTTGATTTTGGAGAATGTCTAAATATACTTTATTTATATCTCAGCTAGATGCTAGAAGAGACGTATGATCTTCTCATATCGGAAAATTTATTTTAAGTTTTCAAAGATTTAGGTCGCGCAAAGATAGTAAATGAAACTTGCGCATTTGGAGATTTAAATTTGTGTTGCCGAGTTGCTTTGAATTTCTAAGGATAATTCGTGAGACGATGCAAGCGACGCGATGTCGTGTCATTAAGCCAAAGATTACCGGGAGCGACGGAAGGCTCGCTTTGACGTGTCCCGCAGGAAGACCTCCTGTTTGGTCTCGTTTTACAAGTCAATGCTCAAAGCGCGCGTGCACGTTGCCCCGAGAATACAAACTAGTCTGTTTACACGAAAGTCCGCGGCCATCAGCTAGCCCGATCGTAAATAATTTCTCGTTTACATTCTGATAATACGATGTCGAAAAAAGCATTGATTGCGAAAAGATGGCAGTTAAATAATTGAAAAAGATTTTTAATTAAATATGTATTTGAAATGCGTGAAATTTAATGTAGAATTCTTAATAAAATGCAAGCATAAATAACACGATATTTTAATAATTTTTCCATTTTTTGGGATATTTATTTTATCCCTAATACATTTTTTATGATATAGTGATATTATTAATTTTGTCTTTCATGTAAAAATCTTTACATATGTTAATTTAAAAAAAAAAGTACATTGAAGATGAACATACAGGAAGTACATTCTAGCATTATCTTATTTTACTGAAACTGTCTTTTTTTTTTCTTGAAATATAATACCTTCTGCTTGAAAATAAAAATGAAAGAAAGAACAGGAGATAATTTGTCATCGCAAAGTTTACTTGACTCTAATGTCGACTCTGTTTCATGATCGTATCAGGAAAAAAAATCTATTTTTTCCTTGTCCAGATTTGAAAAAATCCAGATCTTTCTTCATTTTTAAATGTAAAAAGAGAAGGGCAAATACCTGCACAAATTTAGAACTGATTAAAATTATAAACATATAGATTTAATTCTGTAATGATAGAGGAGAAATGAAATCTGGTGTTGCGGAAATCCATGTTCGATGTGATATAATTCGGTCGTGTACGCGGAATAGATCAACGTTAAACTTCGTGGCGAAACTTAAAGGAACATCGCGGCATCGCGCGGAATAAGTTACCGGCCGCCACGTAGCGGAACTTTAGAACGAAGTTCTTTGAAATTTAAGTGCCGGTCGCGTGAACGAGAAGCCGGTTCGAGGGGAGCGCGCCTGATGATTCATTTATATCAATATTGGGTGGGCGCGGAGCGATTAGAGCTCGTCCCGTTGCGTTGTCATTCGTCGGACACGCAATACACGCACTCATCACTTGCGTAACACTTTGCGGCTTGTCGACGTCATTCTGACGCCCGTCGTCTTGTAATCCTCAGCTAATTGTTGAAGACACAATGCAACAGATGAGAAGACATTTATTTTGTCGTATCATGATTGCATCTTTTGGTAATACTTGTATCTCATTTAATGAGATGTACTTCTATGAAAAATAATATAAAGTCAAAATGGAGAAAGTAAATTTTTTAAAAGAATGCAGAAGGGAAGAAAAGATTTTAGCAGTGTTTTATAATTTATTTTGATAAAAATATGTATAGCAGAAAAAGTAGTTGTATATATAGTAATTATATAAAAGTAATGTTATATATATGTATATGTAACTCACTCATAATATAGATAAATATCATTTTTTTTATTTCTTTGTTTATTAAGAAATGAACTTTTATAACTATTAATATGATTTATTTTATTATTTATATGTTGTATCTGGTGCAACTTGTAATCGCTGCAACAGGATGATTAAGAATTAAAGTAGATGGGACAGTTTTGATACCGATGAGGTCTGTGCGAAGCACAAAGTTTTTATAGATTAAAACATGCATTGTATGATTTTTTAAATAAATTCCTTGAAATAAATGTTTTTATTAAAAATGTATGAAATATTTGATAGTAGTAAATTTTCGAAATACTGTTGTGTGTGTAATTTAACGAGTATTAAATCAGCTCGATTATTTTTCGGAATTGTATCATGTATTCTAGAGTAAAAAGTTTGCTCACTAATCTATCAAAATCATTTATCATCTTAATTGAATTTTACTTGAGTATTCGGGAACGATTTTGTGATAGTTGACGAAAGAAACACGTAAATGTCCCTCGTTTTTTTCACCGTCCCCTAACTAGTAGCCCTTTCCTGATATCATTAATTCCTAGAAAAGAGAGGGAAGAGAAAAGAATGCACATGCCATATGGCATACGTTTATTTGATGTGTTAGAAAAAATGCAGAATCATTCTCGCGAGCTTTGTCACTGATGATTGACCGAATAGGGCGAGCAACGAGTGTACTTTGGGAAATATGCAATTAATTGATCTATAATAATAATAAAATATGATATCATTCACGAAGTTTATTTAGGTTTGCAAATATCAGACAGTAAATTTTATAAATTAAAAAATTTTGTTGCAATTGTGTTGAGAAAGTATAAAATTTGTTAAAATAAGGGATGTGGATTGAAAATTATATATTTTTAATAATAGGTTATCCTTCTACAATGTATTTTATAAATCAATTATATTTTTGAATTAACTGTAGGTTTATTTAAATAAATATTATAATACAAGTAATTATTACGAATAATGGCATTTAACGTTTGTATCGAATGTATTAAATAATA